CGAAACACGACTACGGTGATTCGCCACTAAACTTGGCGGTGCTCCAACAATTGACGCAAAGGGAAGATGTGGTCGATGCAGCTCCCACCTGAACGAAACCCGGCTTGCTCTTCGCGGATGTGGCCTTCACGAGCGCCAGTAAGTCTGTAGAGAAGGACAGACGCAAGCAATTTAGAGGCATTTGGCATCATACTGGTCTCTCTAAGATTGTCGCATTCAGAAAAGGCGCCTCCCTTGAAAATTGGGACTATGACGGAGCGGCTGCAGTCTGTCGGAACAGTTTCCTTCTCCCTAAGTTCTACTCGTATAAATCATCTGCAAGAGTAGGTTTGCCGAATTTGAAGAGGGATGGGGGAATTCTATCTGCCCCTGTGGCCTTATACAATTTCAACAATCTGATCTCACGTTCTGCGCGTGAGGTCGAACCTACAGAGACGGCCCATGGGGAAGTGCACTTCATGCCCGAAAATAAAAGCGATAACTCAGCTTGGTTAAACAGTCTTACAGAGTGCGGTCCAACCATCCAAGCGTTTTGACAGGCTGTGTATCGCCTGCCCACTCTCATCGCGTATGGTCTTGTTAACACCAGGTCTCCTGTTGCCTGTTTCCCGTATCAGACGAAATAACTTACGATACCGGTAGCAGTTGTTTCCACTTCCGATGCACGATGAGACCATCAGGCTTCGCGGTCTCTCTTCAGGCTAGCACGTAGTTTTGCCCTGAGATTTTCGCTAGTCCCATTATATTAGCCTCCAGCCAGAACACGTAGGCAAGCATCCATAGGCTCCAGAGACCATTTAGAGACCAATGCCTTTGTTAGCAATTTGATTTACCTCATGAAGTTATACCTGCTGATTGTAACGTCTGGCGAATATGCGACCAGTGATCTTCGACGGTGTTCAGTGGGCGCTTACTCAGCCCGGATACCAGCGTACTTTGATTCGCATTCAGAACACCTGGCTTCGCCAGTTGACTGATGTTTATGCGCTCAGAGCGACTTTGCTGACGTCCGCCGAAACGCATCCGAAGATCGGCGCACACGAGAGCGTGATCGGGGTTCACGCTCTAGCTCCAAATCGAGCGACAGTTTTGGACACAGCCTCTCCAGCGGTAACTAATAGCACTGTGATCAATTTGCGTCCATGGCTGATCCGAGGCTTGTGGACGCCGTCACTTTTTGCCAGTGCTGTGTCGAAAATTACTGCTCGCGAGAAAGAGGCGACCTTCTTCACACATGTGTAGCAACCACTTGTCGCTATCTTTACGAAGGCCTACACTATCTTGGCCGCCCAGATGCAGCTCATCGGAGGACTGCTCTCCCACTTGGGCGTTCGGATGATAAAATTCATGTCACCGAATCTTTGCTACATCTTGTGGCCGCACTGAAAATAAGCACCGTTTGTCCCCGCGCGACTTCGAAGCCAGCTAATCTAACAACGCACATCCGGCTGTTGACTGGGATCCAGTAGTTCAGGGCAGCTTCAGCTCGGGGACTCCAAACAATGGAGACGCTAGCTTGACTTGCATTTGTACCTGCCTCATCGTCAGGCAGGCGCAATGAGAATGTGCCGCCGGTATCGCATGTGCGGATCCCAGGTTAAGCATAGAGATCGAATCTAGCATGCGTATTTCCGATAAACAGCAAATATCGATCGATAGGTTCCCGGGTGTTCAGGCAGCTGCTGCCTGTTGGCCAATCTGTAACAAAGTGCGCACGTTGAGACATGCGAGAATCGTGGACTCCAAAGGGAAACCGATGTATGGACGTTGTCCGCTTGGTTGAACATGAATTTGTCGACTGGACTGGAGCGGCGCCCTGTGATTTTTTGTCAGACTAGAAGACTAGCGACTACTGAATCAAGTCGGGGGAGGGCCAAGAATTCGGTGATAAAAGTGAAGTTGGAGCGGGACGCTAAAGATGCAAAAGCCTAAGAAGGCCTGATCAATTAGATCCAAACCCCTATCCACCTTGCTCGATGCAGCAGATAGGGCGCCGTTTATTATCCTCTGCGACGACCAGAGCATCACGAATCGTGTGAAGAGAAGTTCATGTAGGTGTATTGCATGTATAGGATACTGGCGGGTTGTCCCAGACCTAGACAGGAGAACGATTCTCAACCAAAGCAGCGGGGTTTCGGCACTGGACTCTATAGTCCGTTTTGTAAACTCAGGAGCTAACCTCACTCCAACCCCCAACCTGGAGTGGCGGGAGGCTGAGCTTGTCTGGCCTCTAACCATTGACCAATCTGGTATGAGTGGCTCTGAAGGTGCAAAAAACATCACCCAGCATAGCTCAATGGATCACTGATGCACACGAACTATCGCACCACGTTAGGGTCTAGTCTCATCACGATGTGACAGCCGGTATCGTATTCACAGAAGTAACCAGGAGCACTGGTTGATATCAAATACCCTGGCCACTATAAACGTACCACTAAACTGTACCTGCTTGTTCGACTGAGTCCACGAGGCAGTAGATATGGACGGTCAGCTGATTTCTTCTCTAGTCGACTTGGCCGAATGAATCAACCGAATCGGTTTACCATCGTTGCTATTTGGGTTATCTGATATGACGTTGACGTTTCAGCCATCGATAGAATCCGATTCTACACAGAGCTGCTGGGACAGAGCCAAGCACTCGTCTCAACTACCATCGTTTCCAAAGGAGCTTACCGACTATGTACTGACCACCTTACCATTCCTCGCCATTTGGTGCAATTGGGAAGAGCCGTCTGACCTAGTTGCTGACCGTCACTTCTGTTTTTCAACAAAGGCCGTATTATGTTCACCAAACATCATGTTATCAGTTTGATCTTAGATGTCTCTAAATTACTCACGTGCATCATTTCCGTTGCGACTCAATGATAGACGAAACAATTAAAATCAGGCTGTCTGTTCCTCCGGAATCGGTCACATTGCCTCACCAGATAATTCACTACCATTATGCCTTCAAGCAGCTTATCATGACCACCTTCTTTGAGTTGGGAGCTTTTCTTCGATTCCGATAATTGCAGCTTTTTGTGACTACCTCTATCTTGCACGCATATGTTTGGAACTTCTTTCATATGAAACAGGAATTTTCCTTTATTATTCCAAATAGACAAATCCGAAGACGTACACTGTGAGATAACTGTAATTTCATGCAAGCTCCTCAATCAAAAATCATGCAGAAATCCTAGATCTACAAATCGCGAGCATATGAGATCAGTACTTAGCCAATCTTCACGCCTCACATTACCATTATAAGTTATGATCCACAGTCACCTGTTTTTGCACGCAAAGCGGCGGCCGCTCTCGATCGATTACGGTGGCTTCCAATCTCCAGAGAATGTTGGGCCGCTAATTGCGCATCAGGACGGTGGATGACTCATCGGGGTTTAATCGGTGGCCGGTGCTCAGCAAATGTCTTGCGATTGTCGAGGTAGTTCGACTTCTCAATTCACCGGTTCCACTGTCGCCGAACCAATCCGGCTGCGTAACCACTTAGGAATGTGCTCCTTGATCCTGACACCTAAATTTCTGTTAGTGCGCCCGATTTACTTGTCACCGCAGCCACAGATAATTATGTATAGACATTGGGACATGCACTGTCTCGTTATCGGCGTCTTGATAGAACACATGACATAAGCAACCATAGTTCAGCTGCATTGTACGCCCTTTTCACTGAAGCACTATTACGCTTTGCGATGATTTTCATGATATGATCACCTTTGACTGGCATTTCGATGAACTGATCATAAACGATCTGTCTGTGACATGTTACTAATGCGCTTTATAAACTGCATCGGATAATCGTTTGATTGTGGGGTCTCTGCTTCTAATGTCAAATCATGTGGGCTCGATGAAACAGTGTCTGGACGATGGAGCGTTTGTGTTGTATCGGCAATCACAAGGCATTTGCTGAGCACCGGCTACCGATTTAACCCCGATGAGTCATCCACCGTCCTAATGCGCAGTTAGCGGCCCCACATTCTCAGGATATTGGAAACCATCGTCATCATTGCACAGCGACCGTTGCTTTGTGTGTAAAAACAGTGGACTACGAATCTAACTATCTCAATGGTCCCGGATTCGAGGCCTGCTATCTCCACCTGAAGAGATCAAATAAGGTCGCAACACGTCGTTTGGGGGCAGTGTCTTCGAGCCGGTAACATCTATTATTTATCTACTTCGTTTGTTATAGTCCCATTAGTCGATTTGACCGAGATTCACTTCAATGAGAATCGCGGTCCACATTGAGCTTGCGCTTCGCAATCCATTCACACAACTTATACTTCAAACTTCCCTCCCCCACCTTATGACTGACTTTCGTGGTTCACTCCTGTTTCTTCTCGTGCTTTTTCACCTTTGCTTCGTTTTGTAGTTCTTCTGATTACTCCCTGCTGTTCATCTCGGTCAACTCAATGTTGTACCCCATACTTAACTACTTGACGATGCTTTCTATGGTTGAAATTAGGTCACATGCAAGAGAAACTAAAAGGTGGCTACATGTTTGGTACGTTTCACAAACTCCAATGGATTTTGACCGTAACAAACAGTTCCGTCTGGATGCACAGTGTTGAACCATGGTTGGTTAGGACCACCATCCCCTGGCGTTTGTGTTGCGATAGATGACAGTCGGGGTCAGTTTGATGGCCTGTTTCAATCAGGTGTTTGACAATCGAGGAGGCAAGTATCATGTTTGCCGACACAGGTCCCGTTTGTCGCTGCCTTGTCATGATGGCGATGCGCTTCGGATTGTGCTCCCAACCTCCTTACACAAGCAACGGTCTGTTCTGCTGATGTAACTGTCCCCAATGTTATGCTCAAACTCCCTTGGAGTTCGTGAAATATCCTCAACTTGTAGCTACTTTTTATTTTCTCTTGACCTTCCGATTTACACTTATTGATTATTTGTCGCGTTGTCATTTGATATCCTTTTCGTCTGCAGTTGTATAGAAGGCACGACATGGTACCACCTTGCAACATACATCTCCTCATTTCCATATCCTCTCATCCAGTATTTCCACCGACACTTCTCCACTCAATGCGACTTTCGCTATTACCGACGCCCCCACACATGAGTACCATCAAGTCGACGCGTCTCACGTCGAATCACACCGGCCTCTCAAACGCCGTGCGTCTCTTCCTACGCCTCCTGCTTGGTATGATTATGCACAGATCCTTGATTCCCGTGATGTGCATGATTCCACTGCTGGTAAGCTCACAACTATTTGGCCGAATCCACACAATTTGCTATGCATTCATTTTGTATTGTGATTTGCATTTAATCTTAGGACCAACAGTCGATACCTGCCAGCTCCCTCCTTGTTTTCTGAGTTCAGCCGATCTTCAGTGAACTCATTTTTTCAATGCGTTGGCTTCCTATTTCGATGCCTTGGACACGTCTTTTTACACCACAGTACTTTTAAACTAACGGCAAAACGAAGTAATTGTTGCATGCTGAAGCTGATCAAGCCTTTTACTGGGTCACGGCTCAGTGAAGTGCTAGACGAAACCGTTAAGTAACTACAAAATTCGCTGGGATTAATTTATGACGATTTCGGATAATTTACACATATATCAGTGTAGTGCGTATACGGCTTTCTGTGTCATTTATATTGATATTGTTGTAACAAGTTGGATAAGCTATCCATCATTATCATCATCATACACGTTAGCTAGAGGCGGGGAACACCTCAGCTACTGTGCCGCAATACATAGAAAAAAGGAGAAAAAAAGCGACTGGTGCAAGCTGGCTGAGCTACCGGTAACGAATGGGCATCGTTCCGATAAGCTACCAGCCGGCTGCTGTGCACCCAAAAAGAAAAAAAATATTATGCAAGATTATATAAGGCTAAATAATGAGATCGTGGTTGGAGTGGGAGGCTAAGAGGGATGGGGTGGGACAAAGAAACTCACAGCACGAACGCCACTGAGGTCGGCTCCTTGCCATATCAGCAAGTGTGTCCAACCAAACATGTTCATCGTCCTTTGGACCCCAACCAGGGAGCCGAGACGCTCCAACCGAGGCCAGCTCATTCCTCTGGACCAAGTCATCGCTTGGCCACCCCTCCTCTTCTTCCATCCACACCCCCGACGCGCAAACATTACACGTCGCGGGAGTCGGTGGGCTGGCATGCGTAACACGTGGCCGAGCCATCGGAGCCTGATGCGTGAAATAACGGTGATGAGCGGTTCAGTTCCTTTTCCTGTGCCATAAACAAGGCGTCGGACACGCTCGTTGCTCACGCGGCGTTCCCACCAAATGTGAGCTAAATTACGAAGGCACCGGTGCTCGAACGTAACTAGCCTCTTCAGGTCCGCTGCTTTAAGCGGCCAGGTTTCACAACCGTACAGTAAGGTCGAACGTACTGCTGCATTGTACACTCTACCCTTCAGGGCAAGAGTGATGTCGCGCCGGCGCCATAAGTGGCGAAGGTTAGCAAAAGCGCCCCGAGCTTTTGCTATACGATTCGTGATTTCATCTTCAATCCCACGGGCGCTGATACAACTTCCCAGGTAGTTGAATTTTTGAACGACTTCTAGCTGATCCCCACCAAGGGTCAGCGTAGGAGGCGGTCCAGACCAATCTTGGAGAAACGCTTTGCACTTCGAGGATGCGAAGCAAAGCCCGAAGTGACGGACAGCTAGTGCTAATCTGTCCAGTGCCGCTTGGCACGTTTGTGAGCTGTCACAGATGAGGGCAATATCATCAGTATACTCTAAATCAAGAAGTCGTTCTCCTGGGAGTAGCTCCACACCTTCTAAGTCGTGTCCTGTAAACGCGATTTCCATGACTTCGTCAACAGCGAAGTTGAAGAGGAAAGGTGACAGCGGGCATCCTTGTCTCACGCCGCTGGAGATATTAAAGGGCGACGACAACTTGCCGTAAGCCCTCAGTCTGCCCGAGCTACGCGCATATAATGCTCGGATAATATTCACATATTTCTCAGGTACACCTTTCCTGAGTAGACAGTCCCAAAGTGCATGTCTATCCACCGAATCGAATGCACCTTTGATGTCGAGGAACACGACAACGGTGGGCCGCGAATATATGTGACGGTGCTCCAACAACTGACGCAAAGTGAAGATGTGGTCAATGCAGCCACGACCTCGACGAAATCCAGCTTGCTCTTCGCGAATCTGGCTTTCACGAGTGCCAGTCAGTCTGTGAAGGATGACAGAGGCAAGCAATTTGGAGGCGATGGAGATCAGACTGATTCCTCTATGGCTGCCGCATTCCGATCGTGAGCCTCCTTGAAAATTGGGACTATGATGGAGCGGCTCCAATCGGTTGGGACAGTCTCCTGCTCCCACAGTCTCACTAGTAACTCGTGTAAATCATCCACAAGAGCAGGTCCCCCGAATTTGAAGAGGGCTGGAGGAAGTCATCAGGTCCCGCGGCTTTGTTCAACTTCAACAGTCCGATCTCATGTTCGACTTCTGAGCGAGAGGGTGGATCCAAAGGAACAGCCCACGGAGCGGGGCGATCACTGGTCGGCGAGAAATCTAACAATTCCGACCGATTAAATTGCCGTTCAAAGTGCTCAGCCCAACGTTCCAGGCGTTTTGATAAGTTGTGGATAGGCTGTCCACTCTCGTCACGTATAGTTTCACTAACACCAGGTCTCCTGCTGCCCGTTTCCCGTATCAGACGGAATAACTCACGATGGTTACCAAGGGCAGCGGCCATTTCCATCTCTGTTGCACGACGAGACCACCAGGATTCGCGGTCTCTCTTCAGGCTAGCACGGAGTTTTGCCCGGAGCTCTTTGCGAGTTTCATTGTGTTCGCTTCCAGCCGGAATATGCCGGCGAGCATCTATAAGTTCCAGAGACTGTGAAGAGACCCAATGTTCATGTTGGCGATTAGACATACCACATGAGGATTTGCCTGCTGCTAGTAAGGCCTGTTGCATATGAGACCAGTGAGCTTCAATTGCATCCAGTGAGCGTTATCCAACTCGGATGACAGCGTAATTTGATAGGCGTTCAGAACAGCTGGCTTCACCAGTCTGCCGGTGTCAATGCGCTCACAACATCGTCGCGGGCGTCCGCCAAAGCGCATCCGCAGGTCAGCACATACAAGTGCATGATCGGTGTCAACACCTGTGCTCCAAATCGAGCGACAGTTCTGGACGCAGCCTCTCCAGCAGTAACTGATAGCAATGTGATCGATTTGCGTCCATAGCTGGTTCGAGGCTGGTGGGCGCCAAGTCACCCTCCGGCGGGTGCTGTGTCGGAAATTAGTGCTCGCAAGAAATAAGCGAGCATCGTAACGCAAATGAAGTAACCGCTCACCGTTATCATTACGGGAGCCTATACCATGTTGGCCGCGCAGATGCAGCTTATCTGTGGATAATTTTCTAACTTGAGCGTTCAGATCCCCAGCCAGCACTACAGTGTCCGAGCTTCTTCTGTGGCGAAGCAGTTCGTTCAGTTTGCGATAGAAGTCGTCTTTTACCGAGTCATCGCTACAGTTTCTCGTTGCATAGGCAGCGATAACGAATAGACACCTGTTAGTCCCACTCGACTTCGAAGTTTTGAACGAGCCAGCCAATCGGACCGCACACATCCGGCTACTGATTGGAATCCAGTTAACCAGAGTAGCTTCAGCCCGGGGACTCAGGGCAATACCAACACCGGCTTGGCCGGTGCTCGAAGCTGCATCGTCACCGGATAGGCGCAATGAGAAAGTGCTGCTAGTGTCACCTGAAGGGGATCGCAGAGTGAGTTCAGAGCTCGAGTCTTGCAGGCAGGTCTCTGATAAGCAGCAGATATCGATCGAGAGGGTCTCTAATGTTCGGGCAAGTGCTGCCTGTTGACCGTTCTGAAGCAATGTGCGAATATTGAGGCATGCCACTCTGAAGGAGGATCGAGGGCTCCAAATGGAAGCCGATGAACTGGAATGGGCCGCTTTCTTGGACATGGGCCTGTTGACATTTCTGGAATGACGCTCTGCGTTCGCCTGTGAGTTGAAACTAAAAGACAAGCGACTATTGAAGCAAGGTGGGGGAGGGCCGAGAATTGGGGGTTGAAAACAGGGGGGATAAAAGTGAAGCTGGAACGGGACGATAAGGGTGAAAAAGCGTAAGAAGGGGAATAAGAAGGTGGGAAGGCTTGAGCAGTAGCATCCAAACCCCTACCCACCCTGCTCGATGCAGCAGATAGGGCACCGTTGATTATCCTCTGCGGTGGCCAGAGCATCAGCAATTTGTTTGGGGAAAGATTCATAGTATTGCGTGTGCAGGATACTGTCAGGTTGCCCAGGCCTAGACAGGAGAACGATTAGGGTTCTCAACCAAAGCCTTTGGTTCAAACACCTGACCGCAAGGCAGCGGGTTTGGCGCTGGGCTACAAGGAGTCCGTTTTAAGGAATAAGGTGCCACCCTCATTCCAACCCCCAACCTGGAGGACCAGGAGGCTGAGTTTGTCTGGCCTCTAACCATTGACCAATCTGGTATAAGTGGCTCTGAAGGTGCAAAAGCACCACCCAGTATAGCTCAATGGATCACTGTGGCACACAAACCATCGCACCACGGTAAGATCCAGCCTCATTGCAATGGGATAAGCTATCCAGCTCAGGATCGAATGACCGCTTGCACAAGTACCGTCTGTGAGGGCCTTGGTAACCGGTCTCTTCCGCTGATCACGATGCATCGGAGGCATTGCCTAGCCAGCCCGAGGCTGTGGAGCAGCTCAGGAATGAATAACCAACTCGTAGTTGGCGACCGTGATAATCAGCATGATCCGCGGTTCTAAGTGGTTGGGAGAGGGAATACTGTGCTGCCAGTCTGTTATTCCACGAAGAAAACCCTACCATGGCTTCTACCATCGGGCAAGATTTACGACGAATGCACGAATGAACGCGTGTCGCTTTCGTATTCAATATCTTTTCACTGGAAACACAGTTTAACTTTTTGCGTTTTTGCAGGGCTATGCTACGCTACACGCACGCGTGTTTATTTATTTATTTATTTTTTATTTATTTATAGGCTGGTGGTGGCTAGATCCTGACAGATGGTCTACCCACTAATGCTACTGTTGTGCTATTGGCTCATATCCTGGACCCCTCTTCGTGGCGACCGCTGGGTGGGTTACACCCTTCTTCCTGCTAACATCCAGGACACCAATCCGCATAAGTCGGTGAACTTACCATGTGCTAGACCCGCTGTCTTTCGAGTGTCCATTTGATCGAAGGCTTTGGCTGAGGACC